CATATTTCCATCCTAAAATTACCGGACTTGTCATATCAACTGCTTTCTTCTCCAGACCAATTTGTCCCTTACATTATTAAATGGCCCTCGTGATATGAAGCGTGTGACCAAATGCTGTTGCGTTGTGCGACCGAGACGTGCCCGGCAGTAATTTGGGCCTTGTGGCACCCCACACAGCCCACCGCCGATCTGCGCCCTCGCTGAGCATATGGTTGGCTCTGCGCTTTTCGTGCCGGCACTTCGCATGCGTCACCAGTGAACGTAATGCCATCGATCAGGTAACATGCCGATCTTACATTAAATAAGTCATTTTAGTCTAGAAACGACTACGAATGCAAACGGTTGGCATTTGCGTGTGAAATGATAGTTAACCACGAAAATATTAATAAGTGTTAAGGAAATGTAAAAAGAAAGAGTGTGCATGCATTATTGTCTATGTAACATTGAGCTGACGTTAATAAATAACCAATGTATGTTGAAAGTAATTCCATCTGGGCAATGTATGATGAAAGAAATAATCATATTTTATAAAGCACGAATTTACTCACTTCATCTTGAATCCGGAAATGCCCAAATCCCTCAGATCTCTCGAGTAGGAGGAACAAAACTAAAGCCAGCACATCACATCGCGCCCACGATTTGGGCGTGCATGGTTTTCAGTTCCATCATGTCATGCATGTATGGGACGAAGGTGGGATCACTATACTAGTGAAGTCTACAATAGATAGTGTCGTTAAATTTATAAAAAAATTAAATACGACTTTGAATACAATACAATTTTTAATACTTAATTATATTATTGAAAAATTGTGCTTGCCCTTATTTAAAGATCTAATTTCAAAAAATAGATTTTGTGAAGGAAAATATCTCTATTATCCCTGATGCAGTTTTGTAATTTTCAACCTTTAAAATATTCGAAAATGCTAAATTGATTAAAAATAGAATCTGAGCTGTTTTTATAAGCGTACTTTGCTGCATCTAAGAAAAATATTAAGACAATAAAATGGAACGGTTTTGAAAAAAAATTGAAATTGTTTAAAGCATCCCAAAAACCAAAATATCCATTTCAAAAGCGGTCATAGAAGTCACACACACACATACATACACACACACGGGAGTTTAGTGCGAAACCAATTTTTCAGTATCAAAGTTCCCAATACGTGAATTCAGACTACACAACGAATTTGAATAAATAATGTACGACACATAGAAGCAAGAAATATCTCCAACACTTTATATGCATATGTATTTGCTGCATATGTATTTGATTATTTTTGTCTTTTAATACATCCTCGTATAGCCTAATACAACATCTTACAACCTCGTAAAGAAGATGTACTCACACAATCGTGTACAGTTATATTTTATTTCCTCTGTTATTAATCAACAACTTTCAATAATTCCAACAACCGTTGCCTGGTAGTTCGTACTTCTCACGACGTTGGCAAAGAATACTTCACCAAAGTGCTTGCTGCTACCTGTAGTATATATGAGAAAGATATATGAGAAAGTAAAAGGAGCGAGTAGAGGGTTGGGTTCAAACCACTATTTAAAATCTCATGAGTCGTTCATGAAGAGACTTTATGGTAGGGTCCCATAGAATTTGCACCTACAGGCACATTGAATTACTTATTTAAGAGATTAGTTTATTGTTTAGATGAAATCAAAGTACTAGCTGCACGTTACGGAGGGCTCTCCTTTAATATCTTCTGTTGTGAGCAGAATAATCTACGTTCATTTTACTATGTAAGTTCCCTTTTGTGTTTCGTAACTTCACTGCTCTTTTAAAGCTAGAACAAAAGGCACAGATCTATTAATCAACGAGAATGTTGTTCATGTTTCGAGATCAAAGTCAAATTCTCGAAAGTAGTTCACCCAATATCTTAAAACCTTTCTCTTTTGAGATGCACTACAACAATAATGCTGCAGATCCCGTTTGTTCTAAATATGTAACCCTTACATAGCTGCTCAAATTGTGTTTATTCTCTGGAAAATAGATTGCTCTAACCAGCCGAATACTGATAATGGCATCTGACGCAAAAATATTAGAGCCCAAAATGTTTCACTTTTAATCGAAATGATTTTCATGTAACATTTTCAGAGTGTAGTCTATTATATTATCCTTTATTAAAGTATGAGGTGAAACTCTGTTCTTGGTAATCGAACCCTGGCCCCCTCCGAAAAACTCCCACTTTTATATGCCCTTTTATCCTCAGCAACAGGACGTGTCTCAGTGATCTACTGATGTCACGGCAGTATCTCTGACCTACAAGCCCTTGGATTGTAGTTCTTATGGAGACTTTTTAGACTAGCCAAACAGCTAGGTCGACTACAACAGCTGAAGGAGAATTGTCTGATCGGTAGTTTCCGTAGTTGTTCCGATCAACACCAGGTGATAAACCGGATTAATATCCTAGCAAACGGAATATCCTAGCAAACGGAACACGGACCGCGCGTGATCTTTCCTTCCTCTTCATTGACTTATCCTTATCATTTTCTCGCACTTACACTTACTTGAACTACAGTACCACACATGTAGGGAGACCACTCGAGAGCATGGGGGATAGCATAGAACTCGTCCCGGTTGGAGGCGGTGCCCCGCTGATAGGAGATATCTGGATGGCGAAAACCCCGGTAGCGGATGTGGAAGTCGGCGCAAGATCTCACCAGCCAGAGGGAGAAGAGCACCTCCACCTCCCGTGATAAAAATGCATTACACTGACGGGACTAATGACCAATGATGTTGGCGCTCTGGGAACAGGAAATTATCAATCAATTCTCACCAGTTCAATACTCTCCATCGATAGGATCAAATAGGGAAATCAACCTCTGGAATATAAAAAATTTGGTAGTTTCCAACCAGAGAATATATTCCTTGTCAATTTTAGGTATTGGTATCAAAATGCAATTGATCATGTTCCACAATATGTTTTGACGTGAAAATGCATCTTAAACTGTTATCATAAGCGATTCCGTCAGGTTAGCGACAAAACCTGTTAGTTGTCACGCAAATATTTCTTATGTATACTCCAACTACGTGAGACCGGAGTAATGCTCTCAATGGCAAATGTAGGCACTTCACATGCTATGGTCTCGTGGTTGCTAATAACTTATTTGCATATACGCGCGACAAAGCATCTATCAAATGACGAAAGACTTCCTCGCGGAGTGTGTATTATTATTATCTGTCTTATTCCTCGGATCGATACTCTCTCAGTCTACCCTCTCTCTTCTCTCTAACCTCTCTCTCTCTACACCTCTCTCTCTCTCTCTTACACCTTCTCGTCTCTCTCTCTACACCTCTCTCTCTCTTCTCTACACCTCTCTCTCTCTCTCTTACACCTCTCTCTCTCTACACCTCTCTCTCTCTACACTCTCTCTCTCTACACCTCTCTCTCTCTACACCTTCTCTCTCTCTACACCTCTCTCTCTCTACACCTCTCTCTCTCTCCTAACACCTCTCTCTCTCTTCTACACCTCTCTTCTCTCTCTACACCTCTCTCTCTCTCCACCTCTCTCTCTACCGTCTCTCGCTACCTCTCTCTCTCTACCTCTCTCTTTCTAACCTCTCTCTCTCTACCTCTCTCTTTCTACCTCTCTCTCTCTAACCTCTCTCTCTGCCTTGTCTCTCTCTCTCTGTCTCTCTCTCTCTTCTCTCTCTCTCCTGAACATTGGGTTTGATGAATTAGGAATTTCTGATAGTTCGAATGAGTAAAGATTCAGTGACTGGGTAAGGACTACCACTTCCCTATCTAAACCATTACTGCATCATATGATGGTCTGTTAAAGAGTTCTTTCTTACAGTGCCACTGCGAAAATCCATGGATACGGTTACCGGCTTGACATATTTGGCTACTGCGTGGGAGTTTAGAGGTCGAGCGCTCGCATCAGTCCGTGTCGTGAAAATGGATTTAAATAGATAGAATATTTATTCTAAATTGCGGTGATGTTATCCGGTAACAGAATATAGTAACATGGATCTATAAATTTAATTACTCAGAAAAACTCCCATAAATGGATTATGGTTACTGTATTCTTCCGAGAAGGTAAGTAACAAGAGTGTAGATTCACGTCGACGTGGCTTCAAGAGGAGCAAAACAGTTTTAGGATGGGGTCCGTCGTCTGTAGAGCAAACTTGCATAACATACGTCGAAGCCGCCTCACACTACGCGTTAAGCAGTAGAATTGCCTCCATTACAAAAGTTTCCATTTATGCATTAACAGAATTATCAGGATAAAAGTTGCTTCAAATGGATATTAACAAAATTTACAGAATTAAAGTATTAATGTATTACATTTTCAAATCCATTGCGTTTCAACTTCTAAAAATTTGAATTCTCCTTGAGGAGGAAGAAAAATAATCATTAAACAAAATGAAAAATTGTTTTAAAGTAGGGTAAATAACAAGTACAAGAAATAACACTAAAGCATGATGTTAATTCATTCATTTTTTGACAAAGTTGAGATTCCAAACATTATAGCGTCTGAACCTAGTACGTGAACTGAACCTACGTGAATGTCTTAGTTCACTCAATGAAATTAACGAAATCAATCTTTGAAATGCAACAAAATAAAAATCTCTTATCCACCAGACCCGTTCTCAAGCTTTATTTCTTAATCCTCTCCTTTAAGTTAATAGGTATTACAGAATTTGAAGTTCATACAGTACATTTGTCAAACTGATAACATTCTCATTTGTCATATATCTTGTGTATGTAACATGGTGATAGTAATTCTGAAATATTTTCTGAATTATTATATAGATCACCATTTTTATGTTATCGAACGAATTATATATTATATATTATGTTTAATAAAATAATAATAATAATACAATAATACCGTATCTTATATCTCTTATTAATGCAATGCCAAAATTGTATGATCCGGAATCATCATGCATTAGTGGCATGTATAATAAATAAAAAATAAGCACTTTTCACGAAACATTTTTCATTAGTTTGTTTCGTTGCCGTACGTCCATCAAGAGATGGCAAATCTTAACTATCATGCTCCGACATAGACATATTTTCCTGTATAACATCTTGCACGCTGAGCACGTATGAGGTAACTGACCTTTTGGAAGAGGTGTCCTGTGTCACGGGAAGGTCGCTCGCCCTTGCATGACTCTGCAACAGAAGATTTATCCTCAAGGTTAAAATTGAAAAGTTTAAATTAAAATTTAGATGAATTGAAAAAGTTAAAGTGAAATCTATTGAGTTGATCCAAAGTAAGTGGCGTAACACTTAGTTCTTGAAGGCTTAACACTCTAAAAGCCTTCATGTTAAATATTTAATTTATATCACTTTCATATTTTTATATCATTTCGTATTTATTCATTCTTCCATGTTCATGTTTAATTTTAAACCCTTTAATTCTATTATTGGAAATTTCATTTAATTACTTTTTTTCATCATAGTTTGAATTACTACTTCCGTATCTATTGTAGCCCTGAACATCTGACCGAGAAAGCAATGCTTGATGTGCCGTTAAAGAATTATAAGAACCACAAACTTTCCAATAATCCGAATAAAGTATGGATTCAAGCTGCAAATTACCGATTCAAATAAGTTTCCTATTACTTGAAAGCAAAATGTTTGGTTGCCAACAACACTTACTGCTACCTTTATTAAACAACAAATGGTAAGAGAAAGAGGTAGGAATTCTAAAGATCAAGACATCCAAGAAAATCTGCGCAGATTGTACTTAACATACACGTATCTCACGCACGAAACGAAAATAAATCAAATCAAATTATATGAAAAACTTTGCTCCCAAGGAGGCACACATACTCTTAAAAGAAATTAAGAGCCACAAAACTACAAAATTAATAACGGTAACGATAATAATAATAATAATAATAATAGCAATATTAATAATAGCAATAATAATAATAATAATAATAATAATAGTGGATCTGCTTTTTACGCCTGTCTCGCCTGATAAGACAAGGTTGTTACGTGAATAATGTGTTGAATTGTGAATAATGAGGTGATATGTGGTAGATGACAAAGAGGGGTGAAAGTACAATCAAAAATACGACCATGCCTACGCAGGACTCTTCACTCAATTCCAATAAACGCGAAGAAAGAATATTAAAAAAAATGTCGTCTTTCCTCATAACTAAAATGTCCATTCCTATGCAAGTATTCCGTGTCTAGGATTACCAATAAAGACCGTATAGGTAAGTTTTTTTTTAGATTCCATCCGATCGAGAATTGAGGGGTCTCATGAAATTCACGGCAACGCACGAGATAAAATTGTATGGAATACGATCAAAATGACCATCTCAGAGAATCCAACACTACATCGTATATATCGAGGGTGTCTAACTAGCAAGGCCTCAAGGGCCACAACCAACACATTTAATATAGTTACGGGCCATGTTTTCATAATTCGTCAATTTTCCCGGCTGCTCCAAAACGGAAAGTGAGGGAGAGAATGGAATCATGCGTGATATCAGGCCAACACATTGGGCTAACGCAAACACATTGGGATGATTTTGAATTTCTAAACTTATTAGAAAAAAATCCTTAAATCAAAACGTAACCTATTTTTACATCAAGGGGCTGTTAAAACCGACAGAGCGCGAGCGCTAGGCATAATATTCTCGCGCGACGTGAATGCAAGAAACTTTCATGTTTGTCTACGTGATAACATCTCGCGAGCCACATAAAGGGCACCGCGTGCCGCTATTTGGACAGCCCTGATATACGAAGCACACGCGGGATGACACAACTGCGAAATAAATTTAATAAAAAATTCTATGTTTAACTTGATCGAAACGTTGACGGCAGAAGAATAAAAACTTTACAAATAAAATTTTTTTGGAGAAGTGAAATACAGAACCTGATATATTCGAGTATAGAAACACTAAAAAAACTTCACTTTTCTTCAGTGGTAAAACGCGGAAAGTTGAAATTGAGAGTGACAGGAGAATGTCGAAATATTCTACTAAGACAAAAACTAGTGGTGTTACAAAACCAAATTCCTTCTTGTATTATGTGTAACAATACCGAAGTATTATAGTACTAGTAGAACTTGTGAGTACATCTCACACATTTGAACACAAATTCTTTATGACTAGGTGGCGGACTTTAATGAAATGTCATTTTCTTTTTCTTTTCACTTTAAAACTATGCCGTTTACAATTGAAATTCATTTTATGTTATGATAAAAGGAAATGGCCCATTTTTATGCATCATTTTCTTGCATTTTAATAAGCCATTTTTTACATTTTTACGTCATTTATAAAAGCATTTTTCGCGCATTTCATTTATTTTAATATAATTTTCATAGTACTTGCTTCAAACAATATTTACGATGTGCAACAAATGTTCACCACACAAGTCCTGAGTAGCCTATTCGATACCTTCGCTTACAAATTCTAATGTCGGCCGTTGTGCGTGCTTGTAATATAAGGATCTTGTGACGTCTATCGGCGCCAATATGAACTGGACAGATTCCACGATAAATTAAGGCAGAGATTTATCTTTTAAAGAAGAGTCCAATCCTAAAGTTTGAGAGCTGAGTTCACTTGAATAAAAGGAAGGAGCTTCGATTATATTAGTAACATACCCAACAGCTTGAGTTGTTCATCTGAAGTGGTTTTGATCAACTCTTTTACGACATTTTAATTTTATTTTAGGGCATTTAGAAGCATTTTAAGATGATTTTGTCGATCATATTTTGCAATGTTTTTGCAACCAAAATCCGCCCCTATTTATGACATTGTAGGTAGCAATAACTTACTTTACTTAATAATCTTCTGATTGGCCTAATACTCGTGCATCTGCGATTGTTTTCAAACCGCAACAGTTATTTACGTAGGGTTACCATACGTGCTCTTTTATCCGGACATGTCCACTTTTTGATGTAAGAAAAACTGTCCTGGTGGATAAGGACGACATGTGTTTTTGTTGGAAGGTGGGATTACTTTTAAATGCAACCTAGAAGTATGATGTACGAAGGATACTATACTTTTTCAACATAAACGGGTCCCCGACATCATCACATTTATATAAATAAATGACATTTAACTTCAACTCCCGCGCCTAACAACCACCAAATCTGGTCACCTAAAAATTGTTTTTCTGCCCAACAATAAGCACGGTTTCCTCGTTTGACACATTACATACTGTTTCTTTAATACATTCTACTGGTGTATGAGCAAATAAAATATATAAACTTTTATTATTTACATTTATTTTATCTTATCTAAGAATACATTTACAAAATATTAAATATTCTTAGTATAAAATATTTTAATATTTTAACATTTTGACGATTTTCCGCCAAAAACAGCAAAACAAATCGACAAATTCCTCTAGTGAAACTAAAAATTGGCCAAAAAGCCTGCTTCCTCGTTCTATAATTAGCGTGTGCGTCAAACCTAGCACGCATCTTTTCAGCATGCATTGCCACGAAATTTCCCGAATCCACCCCACCGTGTGCGGGATGAAATTTCCGCGAAATCCCGTAGCAAAGGGGAGGGGGGCGGATCGGGGCCCGGCGGCGATGCGAGCGACCCTGGCGGCGCAAAGGGCGAAACTGCGTCGCGGCAGAAGAGAATTAATCAAGCCGAATCACTCCGTCGTGAACAATGACGCATCGAAGACAAAAGCCGTTCGCGGATTCCATTTAACGCACTGCGTCGCGCGCCATATGCGTGAGCCCAATGCGACGAGAGCTTCCGAGCGCTTCCGCTACGGGGCGTTTTCATCGCGGGATGAAGCCCAACTTATCGCTCCCCGCCAGATTGGCCCGCGCTGTGCGCGTATCGTGTATTCACACCCGGGCTGTCCTTTTTCGCGGGGGAATTTCGGACATCGGACGGCCGAAACGAGATATTAGGTGACTGAAAAAGAGATACTCGTTTTGATATAGAATACGTGTTCAATTACATGTATATGACATTGTATCGTGTTTGCTTTCTATTTGTTGACTGTGTACTAGCCATCGGGTGGCGAGAGGTGTGTCATTTATTTTGAAGTCGACGTGAAAAACACTGCGCTGTTGTGCAGAACTTTTCTAGTGTAATCCTAATATTTCATAAAACATCACACTGCTTCATTTTATGCAAGTTAAACACGCGTATGGGTAACGCTTATCGTGACTATTTTTTAATTTTAAGTTTTACGTTGTCAGTATGTATGGATCATCGTGAATGGTCGCGCAAACTTTTCACATTTGACTTTAATACTAATACACATTTTTATTTTCAAAATTGCATTTGCAATGGATACGAATAGAATTGAATTTCGCGACAAAAAGCTATATTTTAGAACTCTCAGTTGAACCTTTTGACTCCTCATTGATGTTGGATGAACTGGAATGTTGAGCGAGGGGGCGACG